GATCAGCTGATCATCGTAGAGGCCCAGTTCAGCGGCTGGAACAATCTCGGTTGAGAAAGTCCTAGTAGACTTCGTTGATTTCCCCTCAGAGGTCGACGCTGCCCTGGGGGTGCGAAGTCTGCGTTGAGTGTTGGTAGCGACGGGACCCTCAGGAAGATCATAGAATATCATCGTTGGTACATCAGGCTGCATGTTGATCTGCGCTGACATCACTGTTGCCGACATCGGTCATTCTTTTGATGTACATCAGGTATGATGATCGGCTGATCATCATACAGGCCCAAATCTGCGACGGGAACAATCTCGGCTGAGAAAGTTCAAGTAGACTTCGTTGATTTCCCCTCAGAGGTCGCGTTGAGATGCAGTAGAAAAACTCTAGTCTTCGGCTGCGGCGATGGGATGTCTGGGGAAGCAGGACGCTTCTTGGAGGCGGCGGACTACGTCCCACGCCTCTCCACCACTCTAGCGGAACACCAGACGGGGCAGGGTCGACCAACAGCAGTAGACTGGCGAGGGGTTCAGGTGTATCAGTCATGGCTAGACTCTGCATCACCCAGCGACCTATCTGCTGCTTGGCTCAAAGCGCAAAGTAATTATTTATTAAAGGCAGAAATGGATAAATTAGTACCGCCTAACTGCAACGTGAATAAAATGAACATGGCACAGTACAACTAGGGCATATTAAATGCGGGATCAGCAGCAGAATAAAAACGTAATCTGCAACAGAACAGAATTTTTATCAACGTAATCCACTGAAACAAACACGCAAGTCCCGTGAATAAACAGTAGAAACATGACTAAATATCAATATATAATTGTTGAAGGATACTAGCTAAACCTCTATAGATGTCTATACGAGGTAACTAACTAAATATAATCAAAGGATATAGTGTGTCGGGAGACACAGGCGCTCTCACGTCCAGCTCACTGGGCGAAGAAGGAGAGAGTGAGGCACATGGGTGGAGGTGGCGCCCTCGTTCCCGCGCTTGTGGAAGGGAGGTAACTCGTGCTGAGTACTAATTAGTGATTTTACATTGAAGGGAGCTTCAATTAGGGAGATACAAGTGTTCCACTATGTTCGCAAGAAGAAGAAGACAAGCAAAAAGAGCATGAGTCAGGATAAGGAAAAATTATCACTTTTTCTATATTGCCCAAACATGCACTGCACAAACTGTTAAGCAATTAAATAAGGATTTCCAAACTAAGTGCCTCTGCAGGCAAATTGAAACATTGTTCAAAATTATATTTTGGTTTTCCATTTATCTGAATTCTGATGAATAGGGATTTTTTAAAATTCAAATTAGTATTTTTAATGTAAATTACTACAGACTTGGAGCTAAATATTTGCCCTGAGCAGGTATAAATAAATCCCTGCAAACCCAAGAGGGTAACGAAAAGAGAGCCACAAAGATATGTAGTTCACCTGACATGTTGGTTATTTTTAACTGACTTTCTAATCATTTTTTTAATTTTTTAAAATTTCAATGTTTTTATTGTCAGAAAGTCCCTGTCATTCACTCTCACATTCATACTATACCGTTGTAAGTTTACAATAAACTGCTGGCTTTTAATATGTGTTTGCTTTTCACTTATACTTAGGCTAGACTAACTGAGAAGTGGATGATAGAATGCCCACTTTGTGTCAAATTTATTGAGTTTATTTCTGCTCTTTCTAATTAATTTGAAATCATGCATGAACCAAGGCTCAATATAAAAATAAGGCAGCATGTTTCAAATGTATTGACTTATTCTCCGTATATCAAACTACATGATAGCGCTAGCTTAATACATGGCAGGCACAAATAACATTTTTAAACATGGTCGCCATAAATGCTGTATCACAAGACTTACAAGCACATATAAAGACCAAATTTACATTGCATGTAAAGTCATAATATACACATAAATATGAAGACTTCAATCCACACTCTCCACAAGTCTATTAGCTTTTAGACGTTACCAATTCAAGAAAATGTATAATATACAGCCAGGAAGTGAATACATTGTCATTTTCAATATAACTGCCATTCTGAATGATAGTTGAGATTAACCGCCAAAACTTTCAATGTTATTGGCTTGATTGGTTCTGTATTTGTTTTTGGGTTTTTAAAAAAAAGACAAATAAAGGGATAAGATAATAACGACTGATGAGTTGAGTTGATGTGAGATATGCTTTAGGTGAGCTTCTGGCACGCCATTTTCACCTTTTGTCCTCTTGAATATTAAGACCAGATGGCATTTTTCATACCATTTTCTTTATCTGAGACTTTGTTTGCAAAATGAACATAGTTATGTTCTTCTCACCTGCCATCATAAAACACAACTGGGCCACACAAAAATCATTTCCACCCATTTATCAATAAAACAACTTCTCACAAAGACGCTGCTTTCCACAAAACAACTGCTCACCTCCACACTCATGACAGAGTACATTAGATTGCTGACAGCTAAATGTTTGAAAAGACGTGACATAAAAAATCCTAACAAGCCCAGTGACCATGAAGGACCGATGAATTGCAAGCTAAGTCTGCCTGTACCTGAATCTCAAAATAAAACACTCCTGAACTATAGAGTGTTGTTATACAATACAATGATTTTCCCTTGCATCTACAGTGAAAGCCATAAACACCATGTGACCCAATCCATAAAGCCCCCATAATGTTCAGCCACAGCCCCCCACCTATAAACAAAATGGCGCACTATTTCAGGCAGAGTTACGACCAGCGTAGCCCTACAATAAAGTTGTATATTGAGGGACATGCACAACAATACATTGTATGGCTGTTAACTCATAAAGCTGTCAATGGTATTTACTCGTACACAGGAAATCAGCATTAACCCCCTCAAGATTGAGATGGATGACTCAATTTGTTTTCAACACAGAAATACATGCACTGCAATGTGTAGGGAAGAGGAACAATATGTAACTTTATCGTCATTTTCTGGGGATTTAATTTTCACAATAAGGTGTTGATTTCCTCATTATGTTGGTTTTTCTAAGATAATTTTCCAATTCTTATACATTTATATCATGAATTATAGATGTGTTATAATAATGATTCTTGTACTGGGAGACCATTTAGTAATAAATACACAGAGATCCTGCTTCCAGGCACCCCTGTACTGAAAGCTGTTCATGTGACATTGAGGCCCTGCTTCAAGACACCCCTGTACTGATGTTCATGTGACATTGAGGTCCTACTTTAGGTCACCCCTGTACAGAAAGTTGTTCATGTGACATTGAGGTCCTGCTTCAAGACACCCCTTTACTGAAAGTTGTTCATGTGACATTGAGGTCCTACTTTAGGACACCCCTGTACAGAAAGTTGTTCATGTGACATTGAGGTCCTGCTTCAAGACACCCCATGCGCTGAAGGTTGTTCATGTGATAATGGGTACCTGCTTCAAAACACCCCTGTACTGAAAGTTCTTGTGAGATTGAGGTCCTGCTTCAAGACACCCCAGTACTGAAAGTACATGTGAGATTGAGGTCTGCTTCAAGGCACCCCTGTACTGAAAGTTCATGTGACATTGAGGTCCTACTTTAAGACACCCCTGTACTGAAAGTTGTTCATGTGACAATTGGTACCTGCTTCAAGACACCCCTGTACTGAAAGTTCTTGTGAGATTGAGGTCCTGCTTCAAGACACCCCAGTACTGAAAGTTCATGTGAGATTGAGGTCCTGCTTCACACCCCAGTACTGATGTTCATGTGACATTGAGGTCCTACTTTAGGACACCCCTGTACTGAAAGTTGTTCATGTGACAATTGGTACCTGCTTCAAGACACCCCTGTACTGAAAGTTCTTGTGAGATTGAGGTCTGCTTCAAGGCACCCCTGTACTGAAAGTTCATGTGACAATTGGTACCTGCTTCAAGACACCCCTGTACTGAAAGTTCTTGTGAGATTGAGGTCCTGCTTCAAGACACCCCTGTACTGAAAGTTGTTCATGTGACAATTGGTACCTGCTTCAAGACACCCCAGTACTGAAAGTTCTTGTGAGATTGAGGTCCTGCTTCACACCCCAGTACTGATGTTCATGTGACATTGAGGTCCTGCTTCAAGACACCCCCGTACTGATGTTCATGTTACATTGAGGTCCTACTTTAGGACACCCCTGTACAGAAAGTTGTTCATGTGACATTGAGGTCGCTTCAAGACACCCCCTGTACTGAAAGTTGTTCATGTGACAATGGGTACCCCTGTACTGATGTTCATGTGACATTGAGGTCCTACTTTAGGACACCCCTGTACAGAAAGTTCATGTGAGATTGAGGTCCTGCTTCAAGACACCCCAGTACTGAAAGTTCATGTGAGATTGAGGTCCTGCTTCAAGACACCCCAGTACTGAAAGTTCATGTGAGATTGAGGTCCTGCTTCAAGACACCCCAGTACTGAAAATTCATGTGAGATTGAGGTCCTGCTTCAAGACACCCCAGTACTGAAAGTTCATGTGAGATTGAGGTCCTGCTTCAAGACACCCCTGTACTGAAAGTTCTTGTGAGATTGAGGTCCTGCTTCAAGACACCCGAGTACTGAAAGTTCATGTGAGATTGAGGTCCTACTTTAAGACACCCCTTTACTGAAAGTTGTTCATGTGACAATTGTAACCTGCTTCAAGACACCCCTGTACTGAAAGTTCATGTGAGATTGAGGTCCTGCTTCAAGACACCCCAGTACTGAAAGTTCATGTGACATTGAGGTACTACTTTAAGACACCCCTGTACTGAAAGTTGTTCATGTGACAATTGGTACCTGCTTCAAGACACCCCAGTACTGAAAGTTCATGTGAGATTGAGGTCTGCTTCAAGGCACCCCTGTACTGAAAGTTCATGTGACATTGAGGTCTGCTTCAAGGCACCCCTGTACTGAAAGTTGTTTATGTAATAATGGGTACCTGCTTCAAGACACCCCTGTACTGAGAAGCCATGTGGTGATAATACACCCAGGTCCTGCTTCAAGACACCCCTGTACTGAGAGGCCATGTGGTGATACATACACCCAGGTCCTGCTTCAAGACACCCCTGTACTGAGAGGCCATGTGGTGATACATACACCCAGGTCCTGCTTCCAGACACCCCTGTACTGAGAAGCCAATGAGAAAGAGTGATCTGTTTACCTCCTTTTCCTGCAAGACATCTCGATACTGGGAGGAGATAGAGTTGATCTGCAACTCTGATGATTCAGCCTTCTCTTCCAACTCTCTGTTGAAGATCTTGAGACGGTCATTCTGGATGACAAGAACACATTCCATAAACTAGCTATACTAAGAAACGTCACAGTTGTGCAGTTAGGACAGGCTAAAGGAGATAGATTTATACATACGTATAGATTATCATAAGTATATTTTATATCATAAGTTTATTAAAAACACTGAAAAATATATTCAAGATAATACAGAGTCTTATCTCCTTAATATACTGAAAGGCAAAAGAAACGTATAATTTTGGAAATGACATTTAAGTATCAATGGAGTATTTGAACCTATTTTTTTTCAAATATACACCAGAAGTCAAGTTTCAGGAAAACATGAATCATGGTCGTATAGCCTGTATTGCCCCAAAAAGTATTGTTTGAGATTGAGGTTTGAAATGTTTTTGTTTGTGGAAAGGGAAGAGTTTGCACAAACACAACATTGAAATCGAGATGCATGCGTATCACGCATGAATTCAGGCATAAATTGCTGGCTTAAGTGGCAATCGTTCACTTGTTGTCTGAATGCAGCAGCTATAGCTAGGTTAACAAGAGGTGTTGATGGATGATATGACGGTCATGGCAACGCGGTGTTACGCGGGGTGGACCACTACGTGGACGGTCATCAGTGCTGTTGGTGGCGTTGTATCGCTGATGTGTTCAGAAAACAAGTGAACGATTGCCACATTGATACTTAAATATCATTTCAAATATTACGTTTCTTTTGCCTTTCAGTATAGTATGTGGATGTTATTGGTTAACTATATTATCAGTATAATGGGGGAACGTATGTCAAGGCCTTGGGATGACTAGAATTTTCTTAAATAACTCCAATTTCTGCCACTTTAGCAAACTTATGTGGCCATATTAGTTTCCAAAACTTGCACTTCAAATAACAAGGATAACAGATTGTAACAAAAACCCACAAATCTTGCCATGTTAATAAAATGTTCAGAAAACAATTGAAACACAAAAAAATGGTCCCATCAGTATCCCTTGTCGTACTTTGTCCGCACTACCTTCACACCCACCATGTCCTGTTATTGTGTCTACACTCATCCTGTATGCAAGGGTCCAAACTGGGATTGAAATTAATTGTTGAGTGCCACAGGGCACTCACAAAGATAGTTACCGGGTAGGTGTGTTCTTTGGATTTTAATAGAATATATGAATGAACAAAAAGCTGTTCAAATTTAAAACATTTTCCTCCCTTTTTTCATTGTATTTTTCAATTTTAATTATAACATCCTGTTCAGCTTCTGAATATCCAGTTTCATTCAGTTTTTCTCAGCATGCCATAAGTATTTTAAACACAGATGTTAATGTTTGCATCGAGAATCTTTACCATTGTCTTGGTATAATATACATCATCATTTTTATTTGTAAACAAGCTGTTCAGGAACCAGGAATTATTTTAACAGTGTCTCTTATCAGATTTTTTTACCATGTTGTATGCACACCAATAATTGTTCTTCAGTTCAAAACCAAAATGAATCCTAAACGATTGACTTCTAAATCTATATTCTCTACACAGAAGGATATATTTACTTATCACAAGCAAAAGATATATTCTGCGGTCAAGCAAAATAATTCTTCGTCTGAATTACGCAAACTATACTATGCAGGAAGAAGGCCGTGAACTGGTCCTGCTTATACATATTCAACAGCTGGCAAGAGACAGCCTGTGCATCTATTCATGCTGATGAGGTGGTGAAACCTACCCTCGTTAACTACCCAGGAATATCACCTCTGGGTCAACTCACCTCAGTCTTCAGGGCCCCACACAAAGTTTGAAACTCAGCGATCTTTTCCTGAGCAAGCCGCAGCTCCGTGGCGTGATCTACAAAACAAACAGCAGTTTCAGCACACGCCCTTGTTCTGACTCCCCCCTCCACGCTGGCTGATAAGCCATATTAGGATACGATAAGCAGATACGAAGTCAGGGGCTCATATGCCACCAATAAGGGCGCCATTGTTTAGTCAGTTTGACTTTTCAAATTTTAACCGTTTCAAGGGTCACCAGAGGTCAAGATAAAGAGAAATGCAATATAGCAAGTTTGTATCATGATACATTGAGGGCTTAAAAAAACTTGGGTCCATATAGTTTTGTTTGATCAGGTTCCATGAATATCTATTGCCTTAAATGGATGTGGAAATTTGTATAAATATTTATTGTCAGATCTTTAACTGCAGTACTCAATGTATATTTCAACGCTTTCACTCAGTTTGCATAATCCTGCAGTAGCTATAGAAACAGGATCTACGGTTCACTCACATTTCATCCTAACACAGGAGTAAACACAATCTACAATCAAACGTGACTTTTCAAATCTACTTCACATTAAACTTAGCTGCTTTCTTACTTATCAAACCAATCGTAACTATTTAACAATAATTAAAATTGTAGGAACAACAGACACTCAAAATAGAATATCTTAAACCACAATACCCTAGCCATTGAAATACTAAAACAACGGTTCTGGGGGAGAATACTGAACACAGTTCACTGATATTTATACTGAAAAGTGAACAAGTTGGAGACCTCCCATAAAGATCAGATAACAGCTCTGAAAAATATCACAGTTTGTTAAACAATGCTTCGAACATGTTGAACAATACGCCTGTTTTATGACAGTATGTCAGCTTAATAAGGGAGGAAAATCTAAAATGAATCAATTCGTCCTGGTTATGATCTACTGCCAATTTGTTAAACATTACAGTAGTCACCATAATAAGAGCCCTGCTTCAGTAACCAGCCACTGTAAGTAGTCTGGTACTAACCCCCAAACCTCTCTCTCAATTCTCTCTACGGGCGGTGGGGTAGCCTAGTGGTTAAAGCGTTGGCTCGTCACGCCGAAGACCCGGGTTCGAATCCCCACATGGGCACATTGTGTGAAGCCCATTTCTGGTGTCCCCCGCCGTGATATTGCTGGAATATTGCTAAAAACGGCGTAAAACCATACTCACTCACTCACTCACTCACTCAACTTTCTCTCTCACACACGCACATGCATGCACATGTGTGTACTTGTTCATATTACAGACCTCTTATCAGTAAATACACTAGTGTAGAGTGTATATAAATAAAGTAACTTTCACTGTATTATTCTCAATTTCAATACGTTTGAACAAAGTCTTTTCTTCTACTCAATCTCAGATGAAAATTTTAAGCTATGATATAAAAAAAGCATCCCTCTTTGTCAATATTTTTTTAATAACCAACTCTCCTTGCAAACAGTCCTCATGCAGAGGTACAGATAAGCTGCGTATCTGCGTAATTTACGCAACTATTTATGTGAAAACTCAATTCCTATTACATTTGTTGCGGACAAAAATGCATGAATTTTTTTAAAATACTCAATAAATTTGATCTTACATGTGTACACACGAAAATGTCAAATCTTAGCTTGGAGGCTACTGAGGATAGATAAAATAACTGAGGTATATTGACAGGTATATTTCAGCACATGACCTCATCAACTTGCAGTCTTTCTTATTGTTTCTCATATTACTGATCAAATATAAGTACAAACACACAAACTAACATTTAAAGTTTATTATATTTTTACAATTAATGGAAAATGGCAAAATACCCAATTGAGTTAGAGTGAGGTGGGTATTATATATTTACCCCATTGAGATGAACACAAGCGATGACATAACTCAATGACCCAAAGAGTTATCTGTAGCTCTGCTCATGGCTCAATGTGAATACAGTAGGCAAGCTTTACCACAACCAACTTGTGTATGGTTTTAATTAGGGCTTCCACGGGTACTCGAGTACTCAAGGACGAGTCGGGTTTAGCTGGACTCGAGTCCATTTTCTAGGACTCGATGACTCGAAAAGGGGAGATAACTCGAATTATTTGGTTACGTTGACAGACTGTCTGCCATGTGCTGAGCATGAGCGGCCGTTAACGTCTACCGGTAATATTAAGATAAGATATAACTTTATTATCCCGGAGGAGATTCTTATACATCCAAACTGTCTCAAAATGAATATGTACACAATTCACAAACATATACACAATAATTACATGCACAAAACGAAAGCTATTTACACAATAAAACTGACATGATATAATTCAATTAACCACATAGGTAAAGAGGCTGAATAATTCTAGTTGTTATCACATGGTGATAATTCAAAATATTTGTTGCATTCACGAATACTTGATGGTATGAAAGACTGTCGAGCTCTGTTTGTTTTGAGGGAAGGTAATCGACAGCAGCGTCCAGAAAGAAGTACTTCAAAGTGGTGAGATAAAATATGTTAACTATCAAATCAAATTTTAGTTGCCTCTTTGACAATCTGGCGCGCTCATAGATAAAGGGAATATACTCGAAATTTTGTCGGCAGTATTAACAATTTTGAAAAGTTTGTTTTTGTTGCGATCAGACAGGCCCCATACCAACATAGAAAATTGTAGGTCAACACACTTTGAATAAAGGTTTGATAAAAACTGTCATTACGGTTTTGTCAATGCCTTGACGATAATAAGGTTCAGAATCAGAAATTAGGCCAGTAACAGTGGCGTCATCTGCGAATTTCACAGTAAACAAGTCATTTAATGACAAGTAACAGTCATTGGTATACAAAACGAAGAGTGCGGATGAAAGAACAGTCCTGTGGAGCTGCAGTAGAGGTTGAGAGGAAAGAAGATTGATAGCCATTGACACTGACATACTGAGTTCTATGTACTCTGAATTCTTTAACCCATCTGATAATGTTTTTATTAACGCCTAGATTAAGTAGTTTACTCCTCACACGGTGTGGCTGTATGGTATTAGTTGTTACAAGTCTGCAGATGAGAGTCAATATTATAGGTCGTTTGAGATTTCACTTCTTAAAATGATTAGGTAACTATCTTAACAGACATGGAGAACGATAAATGTCTTGATGGCGTGTCTTGATCTGGATAGTGAAAAGAGAGAAAAATAACTAAATGCTGCCTGTGCGGTATATCACTGTGTTATGCAGGCAGTACAACCAGTACGATGAAAAAAACACACATTTGGCAAGTAAACATCCAAATACGGATTCTGACCAATAGGAAATGTTAGTCACACGACGATATGAAGTCAGAATGAAGTAAGTGTTCACTTGTGTGATCGGAACACATGTCATGCCGGTTACGCTATCGTTTTTTTGTTGAAAGGTATGAATTTCGAGTACTCGGGTCCAAGTCGAGTCTCACCCCTCGAGAACTCGAGTCCAAGAAAATGGACTCGTTGAAGCCCTAGTTTTAATACATGTCCCCCGGTGTCAATTTTCTAAGTGTCCATAGCTATTATTACAGCAAATATGGTAAAACAAAAATGTGGGCTGGAGAGAACAGGAATCATGATCAAGGTGAATCTGGACTTACATACACATGATCAGCAAGCACCTGTAGCCACTGGGACACTCATGCCCTTCAAACATGTCAAAGTCAACTGATAAAAACCAGAAAAATCTACATGGAGTATATTTAACACTGGTCCAAATCTTTCAATATTAATCTTGTCAAATTTTGATCCAAACCTACTGAGTACTCCAAAATTCATCAGTGGTAGATAATTTTAAATTCTGTCATTTTCAACGTATACATGAGACAGTTATCTTTTCCTTGGGGTATTTTAAACTTCAGGACGCAGAAAACGATTGTTGGAGATATCAAGACTAATACCATTTTAGTCCATGGCGAGAAAAAAGCAAATATATAACATGTAGGTGTTTGTTTGTCATACAAGCTTTTATCTTCACATACCAAACTAACACCTACATAGGTTATATGTGCAAGACAATAACATACCCTATATTTTGTTTGTTATACAAGCTTTTCCCTTCATATACCAAACAATATATATGTCATTGTCTTGCACACTGATTTGGAGAGCCAATGGCTTCAGGCACTGAAATTCTTTGTGGAGGGTTATGTCCCTTGGTTGCCAAGATCTTTTAGTCACTGGATTCAGCATCATGATCCACGCTTCTTTCAAATTTCCGAGCAATCATGAATCGCCTCATGTAGATAAAAATATTTATTATGTTAAAATAATTGCTGTCAATCATTTCATACGAATGGAAAGTAAACTAAACGAGAGTGCACACAAGTATCAAGATGATAAATGCCAAACAAGCATTGTCACTAAGGTGACATAATCCCCCGCCGCAAATTATCAAATCAAACTTATAAAGTCATGAAAGTTTAAGTTAAATGTCAACAAAAACATGACCAGTCAACCTCTCTTGATATCTTGCTCTTTAGGTGTTCAAACACACACATATTTTCAAGCCTGACTTTGACCTTGACATGAATGTCATAGGTATGAAATATGCAAAAATAGTACTAAAGAAATTGCTTATTGAAAAACATTTAAGGGAAGTCTTGAAAGTCTGAAGAAAATCCAGTGAACCGTTCTTGAAATATCTTGCTGACAATTCAGGTTAAGTGTCGTTGTGACCTTGAAAATTAAGTGAAGGTCACCAAAATCGACTGGGCCCTGCGCCTTCCCTGGATGAAGCTTGGTGTCACATATAAAGAAACTCCAGTGAATGGTTCTTGAGGTATCTCGCTGACAAGCATAACCTGCAGGTTAATATGCTGAAATCTTCAAAGTGTCTCTGTGACCTTGAAAATTAAGTGAAGGTCACCAAAATTGACTGGGCCCTGCACCTTCCCTAGATAAAGCTTGGTTTCAAATATAAAGACAATCCAGTGAACGGTTCTTGAGATAGCTTAACATGCAGGTTTACATGCTGAAATCTTCAAAGTGTTGCCATGACCTTGAAAAATAGGTGAAGGTCACCAAAATCGACGGGGCCCTGCACCTTCCCTAGATAAAGCTTTGTATTGAATATGAAGAAAATCCAGTCAACGGTTCTTGAGATAGCTTAACATGCAGGTAAAACGTGACCAAACCTGACTCGGACCTTTCTTATACTGTGATGAACCTAGGTACCAAATATGAAAAGAATCTAGAAAACGGTTCTTAAGATATTCCAATTCGTACATACGTATGGACGAACGGACGGACGGAGCCTAATACTATATCCCCCGCTTCGCGATAAACGCCCGGCAGGGGATAATAACACAACAGAAATACTTTAAAAAGGGAATGTAACTTTTGTCCAAGCTGGAAAATGTCAACATGTGGTCGAGACTTCCTCTTCCATGTGCGCATGCGCAAAGTCAAAGTTGCAGGCTCTCCGGGGGGTTTTATCCAGGTTTAGCGATTTAAAGTTGCCGTTTTTACTGTTTCAGTAGCCAGGTAATATGTTCATGTTGCTATTTCCACG